GGGCAGAGCAGAGGGGCAGGAGAACCTCCCTCGACCTGCTGCCCACACTCCTCTTGATGCACCCCAGGATCCCATTGGCTTTCTTGCCAAGCAGGGCACGCTGCTGGCTCATGGTTAATAGTAATCATGTACTGATATTTTCAGTGTTACATTTATTTTAGAAAAAGGGAAACCAAACTGCATATCGGAGGTAAATTATAAAGGAAACTAATATCTTAGTACCAACAATGATGAGAAAGTAAATATATATTATTACTATAACTCAGCGAAAGCTTGATTATCACTTATAACTACTGAGCAATTTACTCATTTGAGTATCCTAGAATTGTTTTTCATAAAATCTTTTCTTTTTTTTTTTACAAGCACCCTTCTAAGCCACAGCTCGTGGCTTCTGGCCTGAACGACCCTTTGGAATGATGGTGTTCTTAAATGGGGTGGATCCAGGCTTTGTCCATCTCATTGTGAAGTCTAGTTCCGTCCCTTGGATTTCTGAAGTTAAAGGCAGGTAGAGAGTAACACTGAGGGGGGGAAAACCCCACAAACCCAACCCTTGGTATCTAACAGTTATTAAAAGCTACGCCCTCCGTTTTAAAACACCATCATTTTTGCACCTACAACACGACATAAACGCCGTGGGAGCTTGGCATTACACTTGGGTGTCTCAGCTACTGGAGTTTGTTCTCCTGCTTTGCAGAATATTAGCAAACCCATCAAATGCTCTCTTCTTCTTAACAAAAAAGTGGCCCTGGCCTACCGTGGTCTGACCTCGTTGGCCGAGTTTTTCACTTGAATGTGGGAGGTTGGCGGCTGGCGCAGAATTGTTCTCCAGCGCTGTCGAAGCTGGGTCATCCTCCGCCTCGCTGGAATCGCTGCTTGTGGAGATCGCGTTTTGGGTGGCCTTTTGTGGGAATGAACGTGAGCTGTGTCGCGCGCTCTCGCTGAAGAAGCCCTGCGGGACCGAGGAGGAACGTGCATCCTCGTCGCTCCCATCCCGTTGAAAAGGATCCTCTGCGCTGGAGACCGACGCTGATCTCCCAGGAGAGCCGGGGTGCAGCCAATCTGCCACGGCATTGCGCGACCATGTTCCATCGGGCAGGTGGAAGGTGCTGGCATCCTGCAAGGCTGTGTAGCCAGCCCAGTCTTTCTCGTTAAGACCTCTTTGCGTTTCATCTGCGTGAGCCTTCGTTGTGTTCACCTGCTTCTCCTGGGGTCGCGGGTCTTCTTCCCCGGTAACAACTGCAAGACGTTTTTCAGCTGTGTCTTCAGGCAGGGACTGAAGAGATGACTCGGCGCTGGGACGCGGCAGGGATGGTGCTGCAACAATTTCATTCAAACCAATATCACTGGGAGCAAAAGTAAAATCATCGTGCTCGGATGTACTCGTGTTTCTGCTCAATGTAATGTCCCCCTCACCACGATCCTGGTCGGAGGAGTTCCCGTCGATGGGCTTGTCTGGACTTCCCTCTGGAGCATCTTCTTTCTGTTCAGTGGGACTCAATCTGAGGGAACGCCGAGGCTCAGCGCGAAGCCGGTACAGCTGCAGTTCGGCCTCTTCAGGAGTGTTCTCTGTATCGGTGTCATACGTGGGAGAACATTTTAATGAAAGCAATGTATCGCCAAAATCTGGATTGTGGGGAGAATCAGAGTTTTGTCCTCTTGACTCTTCATTAGTAAAATAATCAAATGGATCAAGAACCTCATGACTTGAAGAACTGACTGCGTCCGAGTCGGACATGCTTCCACGGTCACTGCGTTTCTCAGCGTAAGGCGGTGCTGTTTCAGGCATGGTGGTATCTGATCCGTAACGAATAGCGGTTTCACAACACACCTTGTTCTCCTCTTCATCTTCCTCAATACGCTGATGTCCAGCAGCAACGTTTGGCGGCTCGGGCGGCGTCGAGAACTTCTCCGTCCCACTGTTTGTATCGGCTTTGTCGCTAGCACGGGGCTCTTCCAGCTCAAAGTCCTCCAGGGAGCTGCAGTCACTCATGGTGAACGGAGTCCCTTCATCTGAAGAGCTATCACCAAATAGATCTGCTGAAGCGCCGTTTTCATTCGTGAGTTCCATTTTACAGCCGTACCCTGTAAGAGGAGGGTGTTCCATTGGTTGGTAGACACTTAAATTCTCAGCATTTGTATCTCTCTTGCTGCTGCTGGGTAAAACAAAATCCCCCATGTCGCTGGTTATATTTATGTGGCTGTTTAGACCAAGTTGCTCATCGCAGCTTTGCCTTCCAGGCATGAATTCCGTAGCGCTTGTGGGTTCGCTGTGTGAAACGATACCTTTTCTTTCTGGTGTAGCCTTTGCGCTTTCAGACCGCAGCAGACCAGAGCTGTCGCTTACCTTGCTGCTCCGAGAATCCCGTGCAGCTGCGGGGGTTTGTGTCGTGGAAAACGGGGAGCCGGATTCTCCCATGAAGGATAAATCCGAACCTGAGGTGTCCGTGTGATGTGAGCGAGCGTCAGCACTCGATCTCCGCGGTGTGGCATGGAGCCTGCTCTTCTCTGAGCCTGCATCATTTGCATGGTTTGAATCTGCCCATAATGAAATGTCATTACTGATTAATTTTCTTCCCATTACTTCACCGCCAATCGTGTCATCTATCCTTACAGAGAACAGTCCGTTATTATCAACATTTATATTTTCACCATTGCCAATACTGGTCTTGGTGTCTGAAAACACTGGGTTTTTCTTCACGGCGGTCTCCTCGTTGCTTTGTCTCTGGTACTCTTCCTCAGTATTTGGTGCGTGCACACCGCTTCCACGCAAAACAGAGGTTTCTGTCGGCAGAACGCACGTGTTTCTTGAAGCATGCTCGTCACGAATGAACAAGTGGCGCTGCGGATTTGTTGACTCGCTTGCAGAGCGCTCCCGGCTCAAGGCGTCATCTGAAAAACCTCGATTAGCGTAGGCACGTTCTGAGCCGGAGCGCTTGTTCCTGCGCGCGAGTCTCCACAGGCTCACCAGGTAGGGTCTGGCGAAAGCGCCCAGGCAGAAGGCGCAGACGAATGTGACGAGCACGGAGAGGCAGACAGCCAGCGCCAGGTCCCGCTCCGTTCCGCCTTGTCTAAAAGCAGTGGTAGCGTCCCGGGCTTTTCTAACCAAAAGTGTTGAAACCCTTTCTTTCACCTGTATGTTGTAGACGAGATATTTCTCCTTTGCTGTATTAAGAATACACAAATATAACCCTTCAGCAGTCTTATCAGCATTGTATATCACTAAATTATTCCTTTTATCCAGTGCCATATGAGGAAGACTGTTGCCTTTCGAAATTCTGCCTTTAGGTGTCCACCAAGAGACTCCATCACCTGAAATAAAAGAAAACACAAACGAAATCTTTCTTAAAAGTGTAGGATACTTGGTTTGCAGGGTCACGTTATTTCTATCAGAACATACTCTGACCTATCTTTAATAATTTGAACTACTTGTTATAATAAAAGCCATTTTCTTGTTACCCATCCATAGTCAATTTACACGGCACCGAGTACCTGTTAAACCAACATATATTGCCCCCCACATTTAAAACCCAACATATATTGCCCCCCACATTTAAAACCCAACATCTATTGCCCCCCACATTTAAAACCTGGTATGCAGGGGGTCTTAACAGCAGCTGAGTGGCGTGGGTGAGGCCCCGGGGATGTCACTGGCATTATCTGCGTCTGTTCTGGGTCACACCAGAACCGCCGGCTGATGTCCCCCGTGGAAGGTCCATGTTTCAAGCCAGCTGTTCTCCAGCGTGGCCGTGCTCACGGGGTGCAGCGGTGAGATGAAACTTCACTAGTGAACTGTCGGTGTTCCAACCACTCTGATTGTCCTGTCGCTGCTGCTGTGACTGCAGCAAAGAGCTTCAAACCCAAGGACATCTGTGTCTCCCAAGCAATCGTTCTGAACGTTAGCAGGCGTCGGGCCGTGGCTGGTGGTTGGCTTATAGAATCACAGAATGGTTTGGGTTGGAAGGGACCTTAGAGATCATCTGGTTCCAACCCCCCTGCCATCAGCAGGGA